GAATGCCTGGGGCAGTGTGGTAGATGCAGCTATGTGTTATCAATCCAGGCGGGAGTCAAGGGCTGAGCGGTACCTGCCGTCCCTCAATGACACACCACGAATGCCCTGCCCCAGGGCCTTTGTACCTGTTGCCCGTCTACACGGAACATTCCCCCCACCCCCCCCACCCCAACTCTCCCAGGCCTCCGTCTTCCCTTCTGCTGAGCAGGTCTCCGCTGCACCGAGAGCAGCACGCCCCCTGCACTCCCAGCCCTCGCCCAGCCTCCTTTCCCCACTGCATCGCCTCGACCTGGCACCGTCTCAACCCGGCGTCAGGGCCAGCGGCTACTGTTCACCCTCTGCCTCCCTTCATTAGAACGACGGCTTTGCCAGGAGGATCCCGCTGTTTATCCCTGCTGGGGCTCCAGTACGTACAACGGCGTGTGGCCATAGCAGGGGCTCCAACGTTGGAGGAATGAAGGAAGGACTGTCCCCACCACTTACCGAACGCAGTACAGGAAGTGTGTGTGGTAATCCGCGTACACATAGAAGTCGTCTCCTACTTTGTGGTCCAGCACGGAATGGCTGTTCTGGAAGTAATTTAACACGCTCATGATGGTGCAGTTCTTGTTATATGGTGAGAGGGGGGCCAAGCAGATGTCCTGGAGTGTCACAGTCTTGTTGTTGTAAGATGCAGTAATGTTCTCGATGGCTGTTTGTAAGTCAAGAACCTGAAGGATGATTTTTAAAATAAACCCAGAAATGTATCAGTTTTCCCTCAGAGGTTGACTAACTGTTATCGCCTGGAGGAGTCAGAAGGTAAAGAGTATTTGGCGAAACTCCTTCCTGAGACAGGGAAGGCTGAGACACATGATGGTTAAAAAAAAAAAAAAAAAATTTTTTTTTTTTTTAAACATACTTTTGGTGACTTCCCTGGCGGTCCAGTGGGTAAGACTTCACCTTCCAATGCAGGGGGTGAGGGTTCAATCCCTGTTTGGGGAGCTAAGATCCCACATGCCTTGCAGTCAAAAACCCAAAACATAAAAAAGCAAAAACCCAAAAAAAAAAAAAAAAAAAACCCAAAAAAAAAAAAAAAAAAAAGCAATACTGTAACAAATTCAATAAAGACTTTAAAAATGGTCATCAAAAAAAGAAATCTTAAAAAAAAACAAACATATTTTTGCTGAGGAACAGCCAACTGGGATGGAGACCCCACCTACAGGCACCCAGAGAGAGGAGGGGGCACCACGACAGGTCAGATCCCAGCGCAGGACACACGAACATCTGCCCTCCCACCCTTCTCCACAGGGACCCACGAGGCCACAGAGGGGAGCCTGGGGTCATCTGCCTGATCTTCCTGACACGCCCTCCCCTCACCAACAAATACCACCTTCCTCCATACTATGGTTATTTATGTATATTCTCGTACTTTCTAATAGAGAATATATTCCAGGAGGTAAATGACAACATTTGCACCTTTTGCAACAAGCTGGGGAAAAGCAACAGTCATTGGGTGGAAAAAGGATCCTACTAAAGTCTTGAGAATATTTTGATGTTTTTTCAAGCTATCAAGACTTTCTGGGGAAGAGCAATGTTTAAAGGAAAAACCATGCAACTGTGCAACTGTTCATTAAAATATAAGTGGATGCAGTTTATTTACAGATAAGTATGATAAGGGAGAACGGGCAGGTTTAAAAGCCTTTGTAAGAGCACGCGATGGATCTCGTTCCAAATGCACCTCCCACCAAATGCAGGCAGGGAGCCCACATTCAGACAACACTAAGTTCATTCCTGCAGGTGGATCAGCAGTGATCCAGCAGCTCCTTCCTAGGTCCCCAGGACAGCATAAGAGGCTTTATCCCTTTGGGTCCTGGTGTATTATTTTTTAATTATCACAGGAAAAAAATCCATAAGTTCCTAGGTGAATTATAAATACATTCTGTTTCAAAAGAGAAATGCTCATCTCAATTTCAAGCAAGACCATCTGTATGAAATAAATACCAAAGCGGTCTACAGTAAATTTTTCATTAAATTCAACAGCTATCACTTTTTTGAAAAGTAAGTGAAAAGCGCCTTTACTTTTATCATTAAGGTTCACAAGATAAACCATCACACTCAGCCCCAAACCCACATCAAGTAAACTGGTCAAAAGCTGACAAAGTGCCATGTCCCCTGGAATTGATTTCTGCAAAGAGCAGATTACCTGGTGCAAGATGTCTATGGCAAGTGGGGGCCCAAAGGGCACGCCGGCTCCAGAGGGGTAAGGATGGTACATGTGCGGCTGGGTGAGGGGGGCTTGGATGATGAGCTGCTCGGTGCGGAAGAAAGGTCCGAAGTGTGTGTCAAAGTACTCCTTCTCCCGGCGCGCCTGGCTGCCGGGCGCAGACCAGAGGTCCACCGGGTCTGTCGTGACCTGCACAAACACCAGGCCTGAAGAACAGGCGGTGATGAAGGCCACGGAGAAGAACACGATGCAGCCGGGGTGTCGGACGCAGAATAAGCCCCACTGTGCAAAGAGCCGCTGTAGACGGGCTTCGAAGGCGGCACCCAGAGAGTCACAGCAGGACGGCCCCCCTGGAAGAGCAGGATAGGA